GGTAAGTAAATGCACATTTGGAGTGAAACTTGTTCAGTTTGACAAATGTTAAATTTACCTAAGAACACTGTAATTTCCAAAATGAAATACACTGACGCATGAAAATCAGGATAAAATGTATCTTATACCCCATACATAGATATGTGCTTCCTTTCAGATGAAAATGGTTTGTAATTTAAAGTAAATCTTTGCCAGAGCAAAGGAATTATTTGTAAAAATCTATCTAAGAAACTGATTTCAAAGCAATTTAGATATGGTCCATGATGCTGCATTAGATGAAATACAAAATGTAGCTTCTAATTCAATTGGGGATTACTTTTTAAAAAGTAAAATGACCTTTTTCGGTCCCTCACATGGCTACTTTAATAGCTATTTGAGGGATGTTTCTTTTTTTCTTTCCCCTCACCCCAACAGTGTGTTTATAATTAATAACCTGTAAATTGTATGAAAGTAGTAGTCAAAAAGACTTAATTTTGACCATCACAAAGTAGGCTAAAAAAGCCCTAAGAAACTGGTCTCCCACCCTTCTCAGAGCAACTGCAGACATTTTATACCTTCCTGGAGTTATCTATTTAAAATATTTCTTAAGGAAAGTGTGTGCCTCATAGAATAAATGAATTAGAATGGGGTGATTGTCATAAATAATAATGAATATAAAGAGGTAACATGTATCTTTATGAGAAATGAATGGCAATTGAGAATCCTTGCTGTGAAAAAAATGACACTCCATAGCGAGAATACAATGCTGGTATTCAAATAAGAAAATGAACTTATTAAAAATATTATTATATTCACGATGCCCTTTTCTAGGAAATTGTCATTTTTTTTCCTCTTTCAGCTTACCTTTATATTATGGTTTCATGTAACCTGACACATGGCTTATATATCATAATAAACTGGTTGGTAGGTTAAGCAATTTGCCATTAAATACCCTGTTGTTATTATTCAAAGTTCTGTTAAGTGTCCACAAAAAACAAAATTAGGATCAAATTGACAGCTGATACATATTTACATAGCATCATGCTCTTGACGCTTTTTAGGATAACATGATGATGTCTATTTTCTTTTATATTGTTTACATAGGGGATGGTAGCATTATTCTTATACGAGCAGTTGAAAATGCCATATATTACATGGTACAGCTTAGATTTCAGTCAGACTCTTTTGACAAACATACAGAAAATTCCTGAAGAACTTGTAATGTAAAACACACGATAAACAAGTAATGACTAAGAAAGAGATGGTAACAACAATAATCGAATGTATGCATTACCCACCCCTATTTGGTAAAATGTTACATAAATAGTGCTGCTGACTTATCGGGGGGGGGGAGGTTACTGAGTCCATCACTACAGTAAAGAAAACATTTTTGTATGACTGACTTAGCAAAGATTAAAAAGAAAACCAGTTTGAAAAATCGTTATGGTCTTATCATATGTTCACTTGATACATTCGCAAATCACTGGAACGTTATGTTAAGTTAGTACAGTTTAAGAGGATGCTGTTTTGTCAAACCAGCTTTATTTTAATTTCTCAGAACATAGGAAACATTACTAGCATGTTGGAATGAATCTTCCAGTGAAATTATTTTAAATGACAACTCTTAACCTCAGCACCCAATACTGTTGACCCTAATGAAAACAAAAATATGTTCCCCTGTATTCCAGCGCCCACTGTAAGTGGCATTTACTTTTAGGAGCTTTTACTGAGAAGTTTCAACTATCTTTTCTCTAGAGTATCTATTTCACATGACAGCTTTCTAAAATGGTATTGTTTCAATGAAAGCACAGTTGTAAGCCTTGGGAAATACAAAAACTGTTATTAAAAAAGGGATGGGTGATGTTGGGAAAAACTAGAAACAAATAACCAGAAAGGATTTTTTTTCTTTTATTTATCAGCTTATGTTGTCTGTTTAGAATCAGATATTTCCAACCTTAATTTAAAAGCAGACTTAAGCATAAGTCAAGTGCAATGTATTATATATTGTATATAATAACCAAACATACAATGGATTTTAAAGGCTGTCAATTATTTGCTGAAATGAAATTATTTGCAGGTCTGGAGCTGCTTCACAGTGGGACTGCCTTTCTTGGCAGCCCAGCCGCAGCACCTTCTTTGCTGCTGCCACTGGCCCAGGCTACAAGTGGGAACCAATGCACACAACCCTGACTCCACATGCCCCATGCCAGCTCCAGGCTCCCCCATCCAGGCTGAGCAGCAGTGGCAGGGGAGAAAAGGCTGCTAAGCATGGGTAGAAAAGCCCTTCTCCGTCCCGCTGCCAGTGCTTCCAGGTGCAGCCACCTGGAGCCAGCACCGGGCTGCCCGGTGTCTCTGCCACATCACTGCCTCTGGGCTGACCCATGGGGCAGTGGTGTCAGCAGAGCAGACACAGGGAATCCTGGTGCCAGCTCTGGATGGTTGCAGCAGATGCTGGCAGCAGGAGGGGGAGGGGCCTCTTTTTCCCTGCACTGAGCAGCCGCTTCTTCCCCATCACTGCTGCTCAGCCCAGATGAGGGAGCCTGGACCCAGTGCAAAGGAAAAGTGGCCCCTCCCTCTCCCACTGCTGGTGTCTGCTGCAGCCACCCAGAGCTGGCCTGTGTCTGCTCTGACCACTTCCATGCAGTGCAGCCCAGCGGTGGTGGTGACATGGCAGAGATACAGGGCAGCCCATACCGCTCTGGGTGGCTGCACCTGGAAGCACCTGCAGTGGGAAGAGGAGGGGCTTTTCCCTCCATGCTGAGCAACTGTTTCGTCCCTGCCACCATTGCTTTTCTCAGAATGGGGATCCTGGAGCCACAGGCATGCTGTTTCCAAGCTGCAAAGGAGCTTCTGGGTCCGAGCTGCCAAGAAAGGAAGTTCCGTTGTGGAGCAGCCCAGGGATCGGCACCTCAGCCTGGTGGACTGAGGGACCTGCTGGGGGCCAGACAAAGCCCCTCCACAGGCCAGATCTGCCCAGTCCGTAGCGTGTGGCCATGCCCCCGCCCGGCTGCTGGAGTGGTGAGGGGGGAGCAACTGTGGCAGGGCAGGAGCCCCTTCCTAGTGTGGGGAAGGGGGCTCCCTGCAGTGTGAGGAAAGTGACCCCCCTCAGTGCTGCTGTACACAGCCCGCCGCAGCTCTGCCCACCCTGCAGCGGGGCCCCCCACTAGGAAGGGGCTCATGTTGCCAGACATTATGGCAGGCTGCTGTCTGCCCCCTCCTACCGCAGTAGCCTGGCAGGGGCACAGCCAGCCCATAGGGCCCCTGGGTGCAGGGCAGGGACTGGGTTATTCTCCTTCCCTCTGTCCTCCCATGGAGGGGACAGCAGGGACATACTCTGCTGCAGGGAGCAAGCATGGTGGCAACTGGGGGAGGGTGGACCTGGCTGCCAGTAGGGGTGGAAGGAACACTAACCCCCCTCTCTTCCCCCTTTGCCTCAGGAGCCATGGTGGACTCTGCTGCAGCAGGAGTGGGGAGCAACTGGCAGACTCAGCTTGGGTCCCTGCCGGTGGACCAGAGAGTGGGGAATTAAAGCCCTCCCTGGCTAGTTCAGCCTGGGCTGGCCATACCCTCTCAGCACAGCTTCCCTGAAGCTGAGGGCATGCTCTAGCACTCCCGGCTCCTAGCCTGAGTAAATTCAAGCATGTTACAAAAGCATGTTAGACTAACCTGCAAAGATTGAATCGATTCAGACTCCAGCTTTTTGAATGTCTGTCCCTAGCCTTCATGACCAGGTGAAATTAGTATCTGTGTAGAATGTTGTGCTGTGCCTAACATACCTTATTTGACTGTCCTGGTGAATAACTAATATTGCCCTATGCCTTCAGTTATCAAAGTTGTTGTAGTTGTTACCAAGTTAATAATGTAAGCAGGCGGGTCAAAGAAGGGCTCTTATTATCCTTCTGTTTTTACTGTAGAAGATATCTTGCAGTGTTTTCCAAAAACTGTAAGGAGCAACTAGGTGAGAAAAGTCACAGGACATTTTAATCTAAAGTAAAAATGTTTATTCAGAAAAAAGTGACTCAATGAAAAGTTAGCTCAGTAATCATATTCATTTTGGCTCCTTCATAAACTCTTTCTTTTAATGTGATATTTTTATAGTTTAACTATATTTTTTAGAAATTGTTACCCAAACTGACCATTCAAAAATAATCACAGGATTTTCTCCTGTCCCCCAAGACCTAGTTAAAGTAATTTATAACCAGGTTTAAATCCTTTATATCAGAGCTTAATCTCAAGGATTGTACCATAAATAATGTATATGATAAAAAGCCTGAAAATGAGAGACTAGCAGAACTTTGAACACTTAATTATCATAGTATGACCGATTTTTTTTCATATCATTGGTTGCATCTACACATGTGCTTTACTGCAGAGTTAACTGATTAGCTTCACCATCTATACATGCACCAGTATTGGGGCACAGTAAATTAATTAACTCCACTGAAGGATAGTGCAGCTGGGGACAGTATTATTCTACAGCAAGGTAATAATGTGTACTGAAACACATGTATAGATTGTGACAGATGTTGGCTGGAGCATGAGGCATGCCTGCCACGTAGCCCCACACTTCAGCACTCTTGTGCTTCTGTCAGCCCCTCCACTGCTTGCTGCTACCACCCAGGACAGGGCTGCTCCAGCCTGGATCAAATTGCTGCAGTCCCAGGTGCACGTGCAGATGCTGTGCCTGGAAGCAGCTGACTCTGGAACAGACTGTACCATTTATCAGAATTTATCATGTCATCTTTATCGCATATGTAGATGCACCCACTGGGAGCATCTACGTTCAGGATGCTTGGGGTTTCTTTATTATCAGAACAAACATATGGGGTTATTAAATATATATGTAAATTATTTCCAAAATAAGTTTGCACACATGTGCGTGCACACAAATGCATACTGCAAGTTACTTGAAGGATCTGGTATTAATTAGATAGACATGTAGTGCCATGCACAAGAAAAGAGCTAGCTAGCTCTCATTGACAAATTCAGGGCAAGATCTGAATCATATTCATTTAAACAAAGAGGCTTGCAATTACATATTTTCCTGAATAAGGATTTATTTTAATTTCCTACTGCTATTCTGCTATCTGCTTTGTAAAGGTAAGGCCTCAAACCTTTATTTATTGCAGTGCAAGCAGTTCAGGTTGACTGGGAAAAGCTCAGGACAAGCCTGGGGCCTAAGCATTTCCCAGAATATAGTGGTCTATTCTTTTGCTGTGCAGGAATATGCTATCACAGTGAGATGGTATTAACAAGTCTGCAGGGTCATTTAAAATGTATGCACAATAAACCATTTGAATCAATCTTATACTCTTTTAAGCTGAGCATCATGATAATGATGGTTAAACCTCCCACCCTGGGCTGTCGGGACCATAGTTGGGATGTGCCAAGGTCGTTGGGCTAGCTCTCATGTAAATACCAGATTTTTAAAATAGGCATTTCTTTATTTGATCTGGTAAGCATGCCCAGATCAATACAACAAATTCAGACTTCTCACAAAAGACAAAACTTTACCTGTTCTGTATTTGTGCATGTGTCCATTCCAGTTCTATTTTACAGAATATGCCTCTGATTATAGTACATATCAGGGAGGTGGGAGACCTGATTTCAGATCCCCATTTCACATGATTTGGAGTGGGACTCCTGATTTACTCTCTTACTTCCAACTGCAAGTGCCCTAACCACTAGGGTATTAAGTACTGTTGCATGAGCCTCTTATAATGTCACCTTGCATATATATTTCACTCTATATAAATAATTAAATATTCTTTGGACCAGAAAGGGAGAAAAAGAAGTATAGGGAGGAGGGGAGTGAGTCACTATATTCTGTACCTCAGTGGTTTGGGCATTCTTTTGAGATGTGGGAGAATAGGTTTTAATTCCTTGGTATGAATCATAATCTTATGGTTAATTTAGGAGGCTCAACAAGGTCTTTTCTAGGTATAGGAAGCCTGAGGTCATGCATTCTAGTAGGCAATTAAGTGCCAAGGAGTTAGCTATTGCAGTGTATTTGTGGATTTACCTCTGAATTCCCAAATTTACTGATCTAACTTTGAAAAAGTTTGCCACAATATACCACATAGTATATCAAAATAGTATTTTATGTCCATATGTACATAAATATATGAGGAAAGTCTGAAAGAACTGGGGTTATTTAGTCTGGAGAAGAAAAGACTGAGGTGGGATTTGATAAGTCTTCAAATACCTGAAGGTCATTTATAGAGAAAATGGAAATGGGCTCTTTTCCTTGGCTATAGGGGACACAACTAGCAGCAATGGCCTCTGGCTACAGCAGGAGACATTTAAATTGGAGATTAGGAAGAACTGTCTGACTATGAAGGTGGTTAGGCATTGGAACAAGCTAGTTCAAGAAGCTGTGGAATCTCCATTCTTGGAAATTTTCCAAGACAGGAGTTGGACAGACAGTTGGCTGGGATGGCTTAGGGATGATCCTGCCTTGAACCAGGGGCCTGGATTAGATAAACTTGTGAGGCCCCCTCTGGCCCTACTTTCCTATAATTCTATATATACTGTCTCTTTCCTGAATTTATATATTATAGGATGATATAATTTTTGTATTGAAATTTCTGTGTGTAATTTTGGTTTATTTCCCACACATTTCCCGTACAGGTGCACATATTCAATTTCTGAACTTCTCTACTGAAGCAAATCATGATTTCCTTGAAATTCAGAATGGGCCTTACCACACCAGTTCAAAGATTGGCCAGTTTAGTGGAATAGAACTTCCACCATCTTTGCTAAGTACAACTCATGAAACACTCATCCATTTTTATAGTGATCACTCAGAAAACAGACAAGGATTTAAGCTATCATACCAAGGTAAGCAACAATTATTCTAGTACATTTGTATAAAGAATTATTTGAGGCATACAAAGTTTTGAGAAAGACAGAGGCAATCCATGTTCCCAAATATTTGTTTTCCATCGTTTAAAATAATTATCATAGTTGCCTCTCTCAGCATTTTTCATTTATAGACCTGAGAGTGCTTTTCAAATGAAGTATCGCTATTCCATTTTACAGTTGTATATACTAAGGCAGAGATTAAGTTACTTGCCAAAGTTCATACAACAGTTCAAGAATAGTAGGAAAAATAGAATGCAGACTATCCAATATTTCTATGCTTGACCTTGCTGCTTCTTTTATTCTCAAGTTTAGAATTTTTTCTTACTATTTTAATGAGTTCAGTGTAAGTTTGCTTGAGTAAAATTAATCAAAAAGTGAATAAGAATTTCACAATTTGATTCTTATTATGTAAATGGTTAGTTATGTTGCATTTTAAAATGTACGCATGTTTATCATGATAATTCTGCAATCTGAACACTTGTGAGAACTAGAAATGCAGAATGCCAAGAAATGAATTCAAAAGTAGAAAAATATAATTTGTAGAGGCATATGCAGGTATGATTCTATAAAGACAGCTGCACACCTTTAAATTTATATACTGAGTAGTCTTACCAAATATGGTACATGTAATTAAAAACATGTATATCTTTGCAGGATTAGGTCTGTGCTTTTTCATAATCTTTGAGTTAATGAAATATAACATGTGAACTACTAGTATTTTTTCTATGGGCTTTTTATTTGTTTCTTTATGCCTATCATTTTCTTGATAATGTTGAGCATGAATGGCCTAACTAATTGGTACGCATTTCTATAATATGAAGATATCTGTAACCTGATAAAGTAAGTACTTGGGCAGGGCCAGGAACAGAACATAGATTAGTTGAAAATATTCAGGTTTGAGTATGGAATTAACATCTCCAGCTACTATTTTATTGTGGCAGTTAAGGTTTGGTTGTAGTTGGACAGATGTCTTTTCTTATGTTTTTCTAGGTAGGTATAAAAACAGTAAATTCAAATATTCAACTCCATAAATACAGTATACAGCAATACAGGCTGTATTTCCTTATAGCTCTCTGCCATGTCTCCTGATTAGCACAAGGTAAGGCCCATTCCGAAAGTGTTTCTTTCCCCTCCATGTATCATACTTACCTTTAACTGGCTTCAGTCTAAATAGACTTAATAAGCTGATTACTTGCAGGAAAATTATACTTAACCCTCTGTGATAGGCTTTCTGTAAAGCTTTTTTTCTAGGGTTACATCCAGGGCAGTGCTTATAAGATTTCAGGATTTCCTTTTCTTTCAGGAAAAGAATGGAATTCACTGATTTATTGTATATGATTGCTCTGGATATCCATGGGGGGGAAAGGGCAAGTGTGTTCAGTTTGGTTTGGTGCTTTGTGCAATAATGTTTATGCTTGTCTTTTCATAAGTTTTGTGTGTCTGATTGAGACTATTGTAATTGGTACTCTGTGATTTTGGCTTGACTGTGTTGCCATTTGAACAAATCTTCATTTCTCCTTTTTGTTTTTCCTAATAATAATCTAGAAAAAAAAATGTTCTTGCTTCTGTCACACTACAGTTGAAGCCACTGGGCTGAAGAAAGCTCCCCCTGCCCCAAGCAGTGCTGTGTGGTGTGACAGAAGCAGGAGCCACAGCTGGAGGTGAGGGGAGAAAAGCAGCCCTGCTGGGCTCCATGGTTTCTGCCCAGCACGTGGAGCTCTGGCTGCAGCCTCCAGATGCCATCCACCGAGATGCCTTCTGCCTTCCAAGGCACCCAGGAGCTGGAGCCAGAGCTCCACATGTTGGGCAGAAGCTGAGGGGCTGAAGCTTCCAGCCCCTGTCCCCACCCAGAATGGTGTCATGTGGCCACGGCAGCTGGAGGTGAGGGGAGCAGAACAGCCCCCCGTGGTCCTGGCTAGCCCACAGCTGGTTGGGCATCTGTGGCCCCAGGTGCTGCAGAGGATAGGGGACATGGTGGCACCTACTAGGATTGGGGCTTGCTAGGACCTCCAGGTTGACCTGGGAAGCCTGCTCACCAGCAAGTCCCCACCTGTGCTGCTAGCTGGGCTGTAACATAGCTGGCAGTGGGCAGGGAAGGGTCTGCTTGTGCTGCAGGGCCCTTTCCAGCCAGCTGGGGCTCAATGAAAGCCCCACCTGGCTTGGACATGGGGATCCAGGAGCAGTCTGACTGTGCAGCCCCCATGGTCCCAGCCTGAGCTGCCTCTCTGCCTCCACTCTCAGCAGCACTGGCAGGCTGACTGGGCTCAGCCCTGCATCCCCAGCTGCAGCCACATCCCCAGCCCTGGGCAGATAGCAGAACCATAGCAGCCAGCTCTGTCCAGGCCCCCTGTCACCCAAGCAAGAGCAGGGGAGAAAGCTGGGCAGACCCTAACTGGGGTTCCATGCCCACTCAGAGACAGGTGAGTTTAATTTCCCTTCTTGTTCCCTTTTGCCTGAGGTACTGCTGCAGCCAGTGTCTGGCCTCGGGGACAAGACTGGCAAGGGCTGCTTCACCTCTACCTCTCTAGGCACATCCCACCTATGATCTCTACAGCCCAGGGTAGGGGCTTAAACCCCTTAACAATTATACTTAGCCTCTGCTGGGTCCTGGCTACACACCGCAGGTCCTCCCAGGCTTGTGGCAGCTGCAAAGGGAAGGGAGGGCTGTTCTAGCACTGCCCAGCTTCTAGCCTGAGCCACTATAGGCATGTGCCTGCATTTCCAGAATTAAACATGAATGTCTGTGCACTTGCAAATCAGTTCAATCTTTTCAGGTTAAACTAACCTGTAAAGATTGATTCAGTTCAGGCTCCAGCTTTTTGAATGTCTATCCCTATTCCATATGCCAGCAAAAGAACACGCAGGGTCAGAACTGAGTTCCTCTGACAGAATTGCAGATATGGTGTTTCAGGAGTGGAGTAACAGTGGTTGCGTCATGTTGGGAGTCACGTTGATTTAATATGATTGAGTCTAGTGATCTGTCTTATGACTCCCTCCACTATGCCAGTGTCAGGCAAGTTCTTTTAAACTGTTTTGGTATATCTTAAGAGTTTCCATATAGTGCTGTAGCCTGTGATCTATGTTATACGTCGTAGTGTGATACAGTTATGTCCCTTGATCAACAGAAAATGTAACTGTCTTTCTCAGAATACAAAATGTGTCACAGCTTTCCACAATACCCTGTGTTTTGGTTTAGACCCTATCTTGATATCATAGGTCCCCTTTCTATTGTGTCTCTTTCTTTTTTTCCCCCACAATTATGCTGATGACATAAAGCAGCATTGTGACTGACACAAAATTTGTGAATGTCCTCCTCCTTTGACTTATCTTAATGACTTGGGAATTATACTCCTGAAAGATTAAGTAATATGTCAGAAAACATTTACAACTGCCTGGGGATAGATTCCATAAAAGGATTTTTTGAAAGGGGTTAATTTTTTATATTTGTACTTTGTGGGCATGTCTACACATGCAACTAGGGTGGAGCATAAAATCTAGTGCATGTTGCGCCATAGTTTATTGCTCCCAGGAATGCCTTTTGAACATGCACCCAGGACTGCAGCACATTGAGCTGGTTCAGAGCAGCTCTGGCTAGAAGGGGGCCCAAGAGGTCAGGTTGCCAGCTTGGGGCTGCTCTGACCCAAATTAGTATGCTGCGGAGGGGCTGGCTGAGGCATGAGGGTGCTCTAATGTGAAGCTAGCCAGCAGGCAGCCCCTACACTGAAGTATCCTTGTGCCCCAGCCAGCCACATCATTATCCACATGTGCAGTGTTGTTGAGTAAAAAACTCTGCAGCGGGATAATCCTTGTATTTACAGGTAGTACCCTTTCACCAAGTGTATTAGTTTCCTGAAGCCTAATAGGACCACACATGTAGATGCAGAGACTTTACTGCAGAGCTAATTAGACACCTCCACAGTAAATGTCTTATGTAGACATCTGGCCGTGTCTACATGAGACCCTGGCTGCACAGTAGCCCATGACTACTGCACAGTAGTGTTGCATGGCAGTAAGTGTGATGTGACACTATTGCACAGTAGTCACAAACTACTGTGCAGTCAGCATCATGAAAAAGCTATCCCTCAGTGTGACAGTGCAGTAAGTCTACTGCACAGTCATTTAGTAGTTGTTTATATGAGTACTTAATGACTGCACAGTGACGACTGTGCAGTCAGCGTCTCACGTAGATGTGAGATAAAGTTCTCAGAGAAATGGAAGTTTCTTAAAGTGTGAAATCTTGCATATATGAACTCAGGACTTTCTGAAGTAACACTGCAAATGAATACATGAAGGACACATTGAGAATTGTGAATCATTCAAAAGCATCAGTAAAGTGGTAATTTAGTCAGAATCTGTTTACTCTAGCATTCGATTTGTAAGTGGTCAAATGAGACAGAAAATTAAGGATCAAGACGAAGTTTAGTTTCATTAACTGGAATTTAGATATTTTCATTTGATTTCTCAAAATATGTATATGACATAGAATGCTTTTCTTTTTCTGCCCCCAAATTACAGCTATTTCTAAATATGAATTTATATACTTCCCCTGATTCCCACCTCCAAACTATTCCCCACAAAAGAGAGAGAAAAAAGCTAAGGTCACTTCATTAAGAAAGGCAATCTATTCGGGTTTGCATCCATTCAGCCATCCTTACTGTTATAAATAGTATCTGAAATACTGAGTGACTAACTCCTGAATGTTATATTTGAGAAACACAGTATATTACCCTGTCAAAATTATCTGGTCAATTGCTTATTCAATTGGGAAAACAAGACCATCTGCTCAGTTAAGAACTGACAGAACAAAAATTAAATTGTTTCCTAAAGTATTTGAGCTGTATTTATTTATTTACAGTAAAACGAGCCATGAATAACTATATTTACACTTGCACATGCGCTGTGGAAATAATTTTTAATACAGATTAATTCTTTCTGATGTGTGAAAGCTGGTACTTCCAGCAGCTTTGATTTTTCCT